AAGCTGAGATTGAAAAGGCAAAGCTTGTGTTGGATGGTTTTGATCTGAAGACTTTCAACCAGTTTCTGCACTGTTGAGTTGACTGCTCAAGCTCCATTGATGTGGTATGCACTTTCAACTTATTTTTTAAAGTCTATACATGCAAATTCCCTGGTTTTTTTCTTCTAAAGATACTTTCGTTTATGATAACCTATCTTCTGTGTATGTTTATGTTCTTATTCCTTTCTCATTGCATCGATAGGTTAATTAGAAGTGTGTAGACATCGAAAATTCAGAACTTTAATCCAAATTTCTTATGAATTTATATGTCAACATATGCAGAAGTATGAAAAAGATAGATTTGTCTCAATCATTTTATTAGACCCAATCCAGAAGACCAAGTAATGGCAAAGTTTTGATTCCTTCTCGTAGTACTTCTTTCCCTAGATGGTTACTGCTTGCATATACATTTGGGCTTACTGTTTTTAGTGTCTTTTCTTATTTCTCTTTTACCCATGCCTATTCTTATCATATTGTTATAGCCAGTGCATTTGTTTCCCATGAATTCAAGTCTCTGTTACCATTGATTGTAAGAGCTGCTCTCAGTTATCAAATCTCCACTTTAAAAGTTCTTCGCACTTGATTTCTTTTGTTGCATTGTCAGCACTGCACAGAATAATTTTTTGGCTAACTTTGTTGAACCGAAAGGACAATATTTTTCTCTTGGTACTTCCGTCCAACTAAGTGAATTCTTTCCTCAAATTACAGGGCAACTGGCTAATGCCTGCCCCCGTCAAGAACTTTCTGTTTATCCACTCAGTTTGGGGTTTGGGGTTGAAATGTTGAGGAAATAGCATGGAGAGTCAGAAAAAATGGCAGTGATATTGATGACTTCTGAGGTTGACTACAATCTTTGGGCACGTGGGATTTTCCCATCGAGATATATGTAAGAGGAAGTTTGATATGGGTGAGGAAGTTATACTCCATTGCTTTCAAACAAAGAAAGCAAGGATTAAGTGTTAGAATTTTCTCTTTAATCAGAGGTAATTAGGTATTGTCCACTATCCCATTTTCTAATTAAGGTTTATCTCTTGTAATTATCTCATGTTAAAATAAGAGATATGATGAATTCCAAACTCTTTGTATGTATAGAATTACTTTCCTTAATGGAAGGAACTAGTGGAAATGGAATTCTATATGAAGGTTCCTAGTTTAGCCTGTAAATAAGCCTTTCATTAGATTTAAGTTTTTATGAAGGCAAAAGCCTAGAAGACTCTCTAGAAAATTCTCTAGATGTTCTGTTATAATTATTGAGGGGAGGAGATTTAAATATACTTGTCGAATAATATTGACTAGAGGGGTGTATAACTCCACTGTTACAATTATATAGTATTGCTGTGAATTTCCAACCTTCAGTGGCAGATCCACACTCTAGTTATAATGTTATCATAAGTTAATAAGATTAATGATTTAAGTTTGATCCCAAAATCAACAAATTTACAGAGAACATATATTACATGCAAAATCATATTTATTTCTGGTGATCTTCATTTTGTAAAAAAAAAATTATGTATTTTGAATGGTACTTTTATTTTTTTTCTTTAGTACAGCTTTTGAATATTTTGGAATAATTAAAATCATATTTATTAGCAAGTTTAATTAGGTTTTGTTTTATATTATGCTCCTAATAAGAGACTATACCCAGAATACAAAAATTCGACTGTTGTTTTATATGTACCTATCTCCATATATTTGTGACTACATGCTGTTGGCCATGAACCAAATACCTATAGCTAGCTAACATGTATAGAAATCACTTATTTATAGGTAAAATAATGATGACGCTCGACATATATGTATATATATATATCATGGTTCTCTGTATATTTTGATGTATACTTGAAATAAAATGTTATAGTCAATGAACAATTCATTTTGCTTTTTATGAAAAGAAACGTCTATAAATGAAAATATACAAACTTC